GGCCAGGTCGCTTCTGAAAAAGAGCTACATAGCTCAGTGGAGCCTTACCTGGTAGAATAAATAAAAACTGTTTAGTAGGTTCTAGTTTAGTTGAAAGACATCTGTCCAGCGCGGAAGAATAAACCAAACGCCACTCTCGATGAGGGAGCTCTCAGGAGCTTGCCCCGGCAGTGGCCAGAGTGGACAAGTGCGGGGCTGCACCTCTACCGAGACCCAATGAAGGGGATTCCAGTTATCCCAAGAGCCGAGCACCGGTGCATTGCCAGGGAGTGGCACTCGTGGTAACCTTGGTTTATTACACATGTGCCACTTACTTACAGACGGGACACATGCTCAAGCCGCGCACCAGCGCACGCCTACATGGGCGACGAGCGCGTGTGCGTGTGTGGACGTGTGTGTGCGTGTGTGCGTGTGTGTGCATGTGTGTACGTGTGTGTGCGTGTGCATGTGTGTGCGTGTGTATGTGCGTGTATGTGTGTGTGCGTGTATGTGTGTGTGCGTGTGTGTGCGTGTGTGCGCGTGTGTGTACGTTGGGAACGGTGGCGCAACGGTTAGTGCGCCACGCTACGAACCGGCGATCCGGGTTCGATTCCCGCTCACGGCCAACACTGGTGACGATTATCGAAACTGGTTCTGGGCCTCCCTTAGGTCGGCTCAGCCTCAAATGAGTACCTGGTGCGGTGTGTAAACATCGCCACTGGGAGACAAAGGCGGCCCGGCGTGGTGTTGGCCACCCACCCCCTCGTGTACCGTGCCGGCCTTCATAGGTGCTCGCTAACAGCACTTGCCCCTACAGTCTGTGAAGGCTACACGGGGAGATCTTTGTCTTTGTGTGTGCGCGTGCGTGTGAGCTCACCCCCATGGCCATGGCCAAATACTTGGTGGCCGAGTACGCGCAGCCGTCGCTCAGGGCGCAGTCGACGCAGCGGGACGACGCCCTGGTGGCTGCACGCACGCGAGGGGGCGGCACGGCACGGACACAGACTCAGAGCGGCCGCCACCCCCCCACGTGCCCTCGCCCACACACAGGCACCGGCAATGCAGCGCGCGGCGCGGTTACACGAAAACTCTGCATCGCGCTGCACCGTTGCACACCGCTCTGCTCCATTCCACACCGCTCTGCACGGTTCTGCACCATTCCACACCACCCTGCAGCCTTGCATTATGGGGTACGTTACTACAATCGCAAAACTTATTTGCTAGCTAACAGGGAGAACACGGACGCTTTTGAAAGTTCCGTCTGCACGGTGTTTGTGCGCTCATGACCAATGCAGTGGTTAGTTTAATACACCTGGCTCTGCTTTGCGTTCATTCTGAATCGACGGTGCCATTTCACCTTCGTTTCCCGTCGTTTTCTGTCGTTCGGCGCTGTGCGCGACTGATGCCCTGCGTCACCCATCAGAGTTTGATGATGACAATCTCTAAAGTCACCCTGGACGCCCGTGCGAGAGGACGAGAGATGAGAGAAGGGAAGAGAAGCGGAGGGAGAGCGCGGAAGAGAGGGCAGCAGGAGAAGCAGCTGAGAACGACATCGCAGAGTCCGGAGGCCACGCTGCACAGGAGGAGCGGGGGAGCCGAGGGCACGGAGGCGAATGGGGGAGGCCTGTGCCCAGCAGTGGACAGTCACAGACCGCCGACAACAACAGAATCAGAGACTCATAGACTCACACAGAGACCCATAGACTCACGTAGAGACCCATAGACTCACATAGAGACCCATAGACTCACACAGAGACCCATAGACTCACACAGAGACCAATAGACTCACGTAGAGACCCATAGACTCACACAGAGACCCATAGACTCACACAGAGACCCATAGACTCGCACAGAGACCCATAGACTCACACAGAGACCCATAGACTCACACAGAGACCCGCAGACTCACATAGAGACCCATAGACTCACACAGAGACCCATAGACTCGCACAGAGACCCATAGACTCACACAGAGACCCATAGACTCGCACAGAGACCCATAGACTCGCACAGAGACCCATAGACTCACACAGAGACCCATAGACTCGCACAGAGACCCATAGACTCACACAGAGACCCATAGACTCACATAGAGACCCATAGACTCACACAGAGACCCATAGACTCACACAGAGACCCATAGACTCACACAGAGACCCGCAGACTCACGTAGAGACTCATAGACTCACACAGAGACCCATAGACTCACACAGAGACCCATAGACTCACACAGAGACCCGCAGACTCACGTAGAGACTCATAGACTCACACAGAGACCCATAGACTCACACAGAGACCCATAGACTCACACAGAGACCAATAGACTCACACAGAGACCCATAGACTCACACAGAGACCAATAGACTCACACAAAGACCCTTAGACTCACGTAGAGACTCATAGACTCACACAGAAACCCATAGACTCACACAGAGACCCATAGACTCGCACAGAGACCCATAGACTCACACAGAGACCCGTAGACTCTCACAGAGATCCATAGACTCTCACAGAGATCCGTAAACTCACACAGAGATCCATAGACTCTCACAGAGACCAATAGACTCACACAGAGACCCATAGACTCACACAGAGACCCATAGACTCTCACAGAGACCAATAGACTCACACAGAGACCCTTAGACTCATACAGAGACCCATAGACTCTCACAGAGATCCGTAAACTCACACAGAGATCCATAGACTCTCACAGAGACCAATAGACTCACACAGAGACCAATAGACTCACACAGAGACCCATAGACTCATACAGAGACCCATAGACTCTCACAGAGATCCGTAAACTCACACAGAGATCCATAGACTCACACAGAGACCCATAGACTCGCACAGAGACCCTTAGACTCACACAGAGACCCATAGACTCGCACAGAGACCCATAGACTCACACAGAGACCCTTAGACTCACGTAGAGACCCGTAGACTCACACAGAAACCCGCAGACTCACACAAAGACCCATAGACTCACATAGAGACCCATAGACTCACACAGAGACCCATAGACTCACACAGAGACCAATAGACTCACACAAAGACCCTTAGACTCACGTAGAGACCCGTAGACTCACACAGAAACCCGCAGACTCACACAGAGACCCATAGACTCACACAGAGACCAATAGACTCACACAGAGATCCGTAAACTCATACAGAGACCCATAGACTCACATAGAGACCCGCAGACTCACACAGAGACCCGCAGACTCACACAGAGACCCATAGACTGACACAGAGACCCATAGACTCACACAGAGACCCATAGACTCACGTAGAGACCCGTAGACTCACACAGAGACCCGCAGACTCACACAGAGACCCATAGACTCACACAGAGACCCATAGACTGACACAGAGACCCATAGACTCACACAGAGACCCACAGACTCACACAGAGACCCGTAGACTCGCGTAGAGACCCACAGACTCACACAGAGACCCGCAGACTCACACAGAGACCCACAGACTCACACAGAGACCCGCAGACTCACACAGAGACCCGTAGACTCACACAGAGACCAATAGACTCATACAAAGACCAATAGACTCTCACAGAGATCCGTAAACTCACACAGAGATCCATAGACTCACACAGAGACCCATAGATTCACACAGAGACCCATAGACTCACACAGAGACTCATAGACTCAAACAGAGACCCGTAGACTCACACAGAGACCCGTAGACTCACACAGAGACCCGTAGACTCACACAGAGACCCGTAGACTCACACAGAGACCCGTAGACTCACACAGAGACCCATAGACTCGCACAGAGACCCATAGACTCACACAGACACCCGTAGACTCACACAGAGACTCATAGACTCACACAGAGACCCGTAGACTCACACAGAGACCCATAGACTCGCACAGAGACCCATAGACTCACGTAGAGACCCGTAGACTCACACAGAGACCCACAGACTCACACAGAGACCCATAGACTCACACAGAGACCCATAGACTCACACAGAGACCCGCAGACTCACACAGAGACCTGTAGACTCACGTAGAGACCCGCAGACTCACACAGAGACCCGCAGACTCACACAGAGACCCGTAGCCTCACACAGAGACCAATAGACTCATACAGAGACCAATAGACTCTCACAGAGATCCGTAAACTCACACAGAGATCCATAGACTCACACAGAGACCCATAGACTCACACAGAGACTCATAGACTCACACAGAGACCCGTAGACTCACAAAGAGACCCGTAGACTCACACAGAGACCCGTAGACTCACACAGAGACCCATAGACTCACGTAGAGACCCATAGACTCACATAGAGACCCATAGACTCACACAGAGACCCATAGACTCACATAGAGACCCATAGACTCACATAGAGACCCATAGACTCACACAGAGACCCGTAGACTCACACAGAGACCCATAGACTCACATAGAGACCCATAGACTCACATAGAGACCCATAGACTCACATAGAGACCCATAGACTCACACAGAGACCCGTAGACTCACACAGAGACCCATAGACTCACGTAGAGACCCATAGACTCACACAGAGACTCATAGACTCACACAGAGACCCTCAGACTTATACAGAGACCCGTAGACTCACATAGATACTCATAGACTCACACAGAGACCCATAGACTCACACAGAGACCCATAGACTCACACAGGGACCCATAGACTAACACAGAGACTCATAGACTCACACAGAGACCCATAGACTCACACAGAGACCCATAGACTCACACAGAGACCCATAGACTCATACAGAGACCCGTAAACTCACACAGAGACCCATAGACTCACACAGAGACCCGTAAACTCACACAGAGACCCGTAAACTCGCACAGAGACCCATAGACTCACACAGAGACCCGTAAACTCACACAAAGATCCATAGACTCACACAGAGACTCATAGACTCACACAGAGACCCATAGACTCACACAGAGACCCATAGACTCACACAGAGACCCATAGACTCACACGAAGATCCAAAGACTCACACAGAGACCCATAGACTCACACAGAGACCCGTAGACTCACACAGAGACCCACAGACTGACACCCGGCGAGGCCGGTACCTGGTGCTCCTTGGTGAAGTGGCAGAGGGCGCCGAACGACGACACCTTGAGGCACCTGGGGACACGGCGCAAGTGGGGAGGGTGGAGAGAGCGTCAGCCGGGCCGCCGCCGCCACCGCACGGCACCGCCCGCGATGGGCCCTGGCCACTGATCCACTGCTGGATGGCGTCGTCCCGGTGCCTCCGTCTGTGCATAGAACTCCGTGCGGCCTCGAGAAGACAAAAGAACGACGAGTGGATATACGGCAGGCGACGTTCCGATGCCGCGTCGTACTTCGTGGCGCATCACCCTCGCTGGAGAGCGCTTCGCCTCGGAGGGCCTCATCTGGCTGTCGAGAGAGTTCACCCGACGGGCTGCACGCGCGGTTCACGTTTAGACGTTTAAACTCCTCTCCCTCTCTCTCCCTCTCTCCCTCTCTCCCTCTCTCTCTCTCTCTCCCTCTCTCTCTCGGTGCTCTGGATTCCTCCCACAGCCAACAATGCTCGGCAAGGAAACGATCCAGAATCCCGAAGTAGCTGCCCTCCTGCGTGAGACCTTCCTCGGTACAGAAAGTACAGGGTGCTTCAAATAAATGTGAACACTTCCGAGAATTTGCAACGACACCACGAGAAATGTGCCGCCTCTGTGCTCTGGAGGCCACCTGGAGAAGACTCCAGGCAATGCGTTGACAATGAAGTGGAGACTCTTAGACTTTTAGAAGCTACTAACATTACATTTGTTATCACGTGACAGTGTCTTATCCATTCTTTTTCCATTAAAAACGATAGTCCCATATAAGTGTTAATTTTTTTTTAAGCACCCTGTACAACATCATCATTATTATTCGTGTTATTGTATAAATCGGCGCCTGTAAGGGGGGAGTGGGTCAGGGTCTGAGTTGCCGCACGGCCCACACGGCTGCTCTCTGTCCAGGTGGATCAAGCTTCTAGTGGTGTGAGCTGCGCCACTCAAGGTCGCAGCTGTACGAGACGTCCCACCAGAATCAGAATTCTTTATTAATCCTGGAGAAATCCGAAGAGCTGTGAAGCTCCCTTTCACAGATGTCCAGTAGCAGTGGCACGGGGGGGGGGGGGTCAGAAAGTTGCAAGGACAAAACGAAATGCGAAAAAACACGACCGGAGTGTGAAGTGTAGGAAAGGTAATCAAATCGCAATTTTTTATTTTAACGCAAAATAGATCAAGGAAATGAGTTCAAATTGCCAAGCTTGGCCAAGGCAGCCAAAACGACAGCAGCAAGGACAGTCCCAGAGCACACCAAGCCGCCGACGCCGCCGCACAGCCCCCCCCCCCCCCGTGAACACCGCGCACCGTCAGCAGGCTACCCCTGGGGGACATCCCCGAGGCACCCCCCCCCCCCCCGTTCTGGCCTCTTCCAAACCCTCGTCCTCCCAGAACTTCTAGAACCTTTTAGAACCTTGTCTCGACCACTGCAACGGTAACCACAACCCCCGCCTGCTCCCGTCTGAATCCTCTAGCCAATCCAACGCTCGTTTCCAGTTGGATTGGCTAGAGGATTCATCGATCATGGACATATGTGTTGTGTTGTAAATGAGGCAGGTCTTCAGGTAAGGGCTTGCGCCGGTGTATTAACAAGGAAAGTGGTAAGTAAACAGCAGGGGTAGGTGTCCTACACGCGGTCCTTCCCGTGGACCCGTGGCTCTCTCTACTGCTAGCCTGCTGGCTGTCTCTTCGCTTTCGTCACGGGGCCCCCCTTAAGTACCCCCAGGTTACATGACGTCATCGCACCTCACAGCGCATATGACATCACGTCCCCATACTACTCCTCTACGTATGTACCGTTACGCTGAACGTAGCCGACCGCGCTGATCGCAGGTGCGGTGATGACGACGACGACGACGACTGTAAGAGAAAGTTACCTTGGAGGTCGGCCGTCAACTGTGCAACGATTTGTGAGGGTGGGGGTGGTGGGGGAGCGATCAGCGTAATCATGGGGGTGAGGCCAGGCGAGGGCTCGCGAACCTCTTCCCCCCGAGCCAGTAGAGGACGAGGTCCAGGTCGTGGCAGGACTTGGCGAGGAGCGAGAAGGAGCTCTCGTCCTCCCTCCTCCAGTTGCCGCGCACAAACGAGTGAGCAAAGTGGAAGTGGCCGACCTGCGCGCGGGCACAGGCGGGCACAGGCAGGCACAGGCGGGCACAGGCGGGCGCAAAGTATGGGAAAGGTAAACTAATCACTTCAAAATATCCGATTTCAATAAAAAAAAAGATTTTACCAGGTGAGGGGCCGTCCATAAATGACGTCACGCGATTTTGGACGATTTTTGACCCCCCCCCCCCTCGTCACACGGCGTCACAAAAAGTCAGACCCCCCCTGAAATATGACGTCGCAAAGCTCTGCCCCCCCCCCAAAACCATATTTCCATTTTTAAAATAAAACATGCTTCAAATCGCTTTAAACTATTGTCATTGTAGTGCGTATTTAATGTGGCGCTGCACTCTGATGTTGTAGGAGAAAACATTTATTAGAAAGTCTATTTAATTAAGTTGAACGTGTTGTCTATATTTATTTAAAGTTGCGCATTTTGATGTGACGTCACATTTCTCAACCCCCCCCCCTCATCACACATCGTCACAAATGTCTGACCCCCCCCCCCCAACCAGGTGCGTGACGTCATTTATGGACGGCCCCTAAGGCTCCTGGCGACAAGTGATAGCTCAACGAAGTGGCGTATCATCACGTGGACATTCATAGCAGCAGCCAACTACTCAAAGCAATCGAGACGATCTCAACGGATGTTTCTAAACGTGGAGGGAAAATCCGGAGAACCCGGCAGAAAAAAATCCACGCGACCACGGAGAGATAAACAAGCAAACTCCAAATATACAGCAGGAGGCACGTGTAGCGGCACGTGTGGCGGCACGTGTGGCGGCACGTGTGGCGGCACGTGTAGCGGCACGTGTAGTGGCTTGTGTGGTGGCACGGGTAGTGGCACGTGTCGTGGCACGTGTGGTGGCACGTGTATTGGCACGGGTAGTGGCACGTGTGGCGGCACGTGTGATGGCACGTGTAGTGGCACGTGTAGTGACACGTGTAGTGGCACGTGTAGCGGCAGGTGTAGTGGCACGTGTAGTGGCACGTGTGGTGGCACGGGTAGTGGCAGGTGTAGTGGCACATGTAGTGGCACGTGTGGTGGCACGGGTAGTGGCAGGTGTAGTGGCACGTGTAGTGGCACGTGTAGTGGCACGTGCAGCGGCACGTGTAGCGGCAGGTGTAGTGGCACGTGTAGTGGCACGTGTGGTGGCACGGGTAGTGGCAGGTGTAGTGGCACATGTAGTGGCACGTGTGGCGGCACGTGTAGTGGCAGGTGTAGCGGAGCGACGTCTCTGTGGCTGGCGCCGCACTCACGGGCTCCAGGTGCTGAATGTGCACCACGTCGCCTATGACTCCTTTATCCAACAACTCCTGCACACGGTGACACACGGTGACACACGGTGACACATGGTGACACACCGACACACGGTGACACACCGACACACAGTGACACACGGACTACGCGCGTGCACTCAGTCAGCGTCCCGCACTTCCAATTAACACGTACAGTGTCGGCAGTGACACGTCCCTGTAACCAGACAGCCAAAGGCCAGGAGTCCTGACCCTGTACTCCTCTATTACTGCGTAGATTCACTCCTGCAGCCCCCTTGTCAATCCACTGCTGGATGAGGGCTGCCCTAAGCAGCCCCGCGGGTCGTAGGCGGTCATTTGACCATACTTCACCACTCCCGTCGGTGCTGGCAGGTGAAGGGAGTGGAGGCAAGGGGGGGGGGGTGACTGTCGACAGATGAATTGTGAACACGCCGCTGGCTGGGCGCTGAACCTGGGGATCGTCAACGGAGATCCAGTCGAGTGGCGCTGCAGTTGCAGCTGCGGTGACAAGCGCGGGGGGGGGGGGTCAAAAGTTCAAAGCCAGGCCAGGGGTTGGCTCGGCGGGTCACGCTTACGAGGCGTCATCCTGCACGCAGGAGGTGGTGTCTCGACGGCCAAAGGACCGATTGTGACCGTAGGATAGGCCCCTTCACGCCTCGCATGTCACGCGACATCACCGTACTTGTGGCGTGCCAAGACGTGGTTGTCCCTGTGAGGAGACTGGGCCCCGCCATGGCAATGTATAACTTCCACCGCTGGGTCAGCGCTGCCAGTGGTGACTCGACTTTGCGAGCTCAGTATGAATCCTGCGTAAGTCCACGCCGTTCGCCTGGCCGTCTCAAGCAATTCAAACAGCAATGTGCGCGTGTCTTTGCTTCTTTGATTTAGCAGCTGTAATGAGGCGCTTGCAACATTACAGCGATTGGGCACCACGTTGAAAAGGCAAAAAGTAACCTACTAAAAGGCACGCTCCAGCCTCACTTTGTAGCGGGAATTGGATGGATATCGGAATAACGGGAGACCAGTCCAGTCATTCGATGACCCGAAACACGCTGACGATGCAGAAATTTTTATTCTCAGAATATGTATTTACTAGCCTTTAGCCCGTCCAAGGACGGGTGTGTTGCAGTAAATCTGAAACTTGCAAGCGAAAAGCAGAGGACGACGTGATAGTCATTGCATCGATTCGTGTGCAATTTGTAAGGGCGCGGTGACACAGACTTATTTTATTTAAAGGTTATAATCCCTTGTTCATCATGACGTCCTTTTTACTTATATCACGTGACGTGAGGGTTCTGCCTTTGTAGTGAGGGTTGTGAGTTGACGTTGAGGAGGGGGGAGGAGGCGCCTCGCCCCCAATGTGGAGTGACGTCAGCCACTAATTATTATGAATGGGGGGGGGGGGGGTGTCCATTTGGAGGACGTCACCTTATAATGATTATATTAATGAGGGGGCTGTTCGATGTGGAGTGACGTCACCTGCTCATGATTATTAATGAGGGGGGAGGATGCTCCATGTGGAGTGATGTCACCTGCTCATGAATATTAATGAGGGGGGCTGGTCGATGTGGAGTGACGTCACGAGCGTTGAGGACAGACTTTTCTGGGTGATTAGAGTCGGTATGCTGGAGGAATCCGACGAGCTATCAAGCTCTTTTTCGCAGATGTCCAGTGTGCAGAGCCCCGCTCGTGTACCCACGCAAAGGACGACCCCAGGGTGCACTCCACCAGTTCCACGACGTCGCGTGCACCGTTGGAACTCAACTATAAACTAAAACACAATTTTTGCTTCACTAGGTAAGGCCCCACTGAGCTACGTAACTCTGTTCCAGAAGCGACCTGGCCACCACAAGTTATCGTGACTCATCACGTGGAAATTTATAGCAGCCACATATTGAAAAAGCACGTTGATTCTCAATGTGAAGGGAAAAAAAACAGAGAACCTGGTGCAAAATCCAAGCGACCACGGGGAGAACACGCAAACCTAAAATATACAGCAGGCGTCAGGGTCGGGATTGAACCCACGACCTCCTGTATACCAGGCGAGGGAGATAACATCTCGCTACCGTGGCAGAAGACAAAGGTGCAGGGCTTGGGAATTGGTCCCCCTGAACCCAAAACCACTGCTACCGTTGGTGCCGACACCGCCGAGGGTGTCCTGGACTTTCTACACCTCGGTGGCAAGCTGCTGCAAGTCTGGCATCCTCCACGGGATCGATCTGGCCACGTCCGTTATCCACTCTTCACGCAGCATGCAGTCTCAACGTCGTCTCAGCACACCGACCAAGATCCGAGTCGACGACACTTGTGTGATGCCAGTTGTGCCGTTATGGCGCCGAGCCGTGGACTCCCCCGCAGTCAAGACCCAAACTGGCTGCGGGACTTCCTCACGCGGTGTCGGAGCCAGCTCCTTGGCATCGGACGGTTCGACATTGAAGTCTCGTCGAGGGACCGATGTTCCGTCGCCCGGCTGAGTCGTATCCGTTGGTCTGGCCGCCTTGCGAGGACGCGGGGCAACTCTCCCGCACACCGCGTCCCGCTTGTGCCCACGCGGGCGGAGTGCGCCGATCTCCACCGTGGCGCTGTGCGGTCGGGCCTTCCCGAGGGGACTCGTGGCTTCGTCAAGTTCCGTCGCGACGCCGGCCTAGCCTTGCGGGAAGCCTCCTATGACGCGGTGGAACGCGGTTGGCCCACTGGGCCTCCGTCGCCTACGCGTTTCCAACGACGACGACAATGATGATGATCGTACCATGGAATTCCAAAGTCGATAATGCAAAATGTCAGTTGCTCTGTAAGGTCACACAGTTAATGAGCTGAGAGCCTCTCCTGTCAATAAATGAAAACCCCCCCGCCCCCCATCAATTGGATTATTGCCTCTCGTACGATCGATCGTGTTTTGCAGCCGGCACCATGGCCGCTTCTCCTCGTCCAGCAGTGAGGCAGCCGTCAGAGGCGCGTTCCGCTCTAATCCACGACTCTCAGGCCACGTCGAACCTCGATCACCAATTCACTCGGACGCCGTGCGGTCTCAGAAGCTCAGCAGGTGTCGAGCCTGGACGGCGCCTTGGACGGGTGACCGCCGTGCACAGACACTTGCTGCTGGAGGCTGTGGCTCTATGCGGTGGGCAGCAGAGGTGTAGGAATGTTGTCTGTACTTCTATGCTCCCCACAATGTCGCACGTGCCGATGTCGGCGATGTATGGCCATGAACAGAACACCGTCACGGCCGCAGCGGCGTAGGAAGGCCCTCGTCCGGCAGGGGATGTTGGAATGGCCGTAGTTTGGCGTGGGGCCCGTCCGTCGCAGCACAGTGCGCACACAGCAGGTCGTGACGGCACGCCAGGCGTGACCCCAGGCTTTACGAGGCAAAGGATCCCGTGGTTCGTGCAGATTTGTCAAAAAACTCCCCCACAACAAGCTGGGCTGTGAGGTGGCCAGGAGAAATGGCAGCGCAGGGGGTGGGTTTGTGAACCCGTGGGGGGGGGGGGGGGGTGATACGTGCCCCCCCAATGATCCGATCGAAATCCCTAATTTCCAGCATATGATTACGTGCCAGGGACTCTATGTGATGATAGGACAATAGTTTGAGTCCATAATTGGAAATAAGTAACGGCAAAGCAGTTATAAATAACTCACAGAATTGTGCGCAGTTGCGTATACAGGACACGACTTCCCTGAAGGCATTCACCTTCAGCGAGCGCGATGCCGATCACACAACGCGGTTCGAATTCAACCCTCGATCGATGGCTGCGCCATCGTCGCACACGCGTCGAATAAAAAGCGAGGGACAAGTCCTTACTTACTAACATTGCTGGAGGGGTTGCCCTCCCTACCTGAAGCTCCTGGCTCCGCCATTGCGTGCGGACATATGAGTACCGTCCGCTCGCCTGCGTGGATTGTTTCTGGGTAACTCCGTTACCGCCCGGATGGAAGACAAAAAAAATTGGCCAAACATCGCGATGCAGGGCCCTCCCGAAAAAGAGCCTTCTGACTTGGCGAGGCTCTCCTGCGTCAGATTTCTATTCTTGCGAAAGGTGGCGGCAGTATGCTCAGGAGCGAAACGCCAATGTCGAGGTCTGAGCGCCACGAGAAGGCTTCGGGAGAGAATTTGTGTGAGTTTTGCTATTCCCCCCCCCCCCCCCCCCCCCATTGAACGAGCGCAGACTTCGTAAGTAATGAAACGAATACGTTACAAGGCCGCACTCAATACACACAAAGTGCTTGCCGTAAATGAACCACAATACCTTGCTGATCTGGTCAAGGGGCATAGACCATCACGCAAACTCCGGTCATCATTGCAGCAGCAGCGGATTTTGGCTGTCCGTTGAAAACGGTGGTCACCGCATCACACGCCGCTTTCAGATGCGCTTCTACGGCCGTCTGGAACGCTCTGCCGATGTTAGGAAGCCACTGGAGCTGTGCAATTTTAAATGCAGATTGAAAACCCGTTTCTTTAGAACTGATCTTTTGTGTTGAATTTCTTGTCCTTCCCCCGCACCTCCGATGAGCACGGCCGGCTACGTACGGTGCGAAGGAAGTCCAGCGTGCATCACCACACGTGCATCACCACACGTGCATCACCACACGTGCATCACCACACGTGCGTCACCACACGTGCGTCACCACACGTGCGTCACCACACGTGCGTCACCACACGTGCGTCACCACACGTGCGTTACCACACGTGCGTTACCACACGTGCATTACCACACGTGCATTACCACACGTGCGTCACCACACGTGCATCACCACACGTGCGTCACCACACGTGCGTCACCACACGTGCGTCACCACACATGCGTCACCACACGTGCGTCACCACACGTGAATTACCACACGTGCATCACCACACGTGCATCACCACACGTGCATCACCACACGTGCGTACTCTCCCCGCGAGCGCAGTTCGCTGAGGAGCACCGAGCCCTACGGGCAGGCCTCCTCCTCCTGCTGCTCGTGCCAGTGAGCGGTCACCGTGAAGGGGACGCGACGCGGCCAAGGGGCTGACGTTCAGGACGCGACGTTTGCCAACCGATTGCCACCTGCGACGGACCCTGAGCGCCGCATGGCGACAAACGTACCGTGTGGATTCATTCGATGCTGTGCTCGAAACGAGGCACTGTGCAAGGCTGCCAAAAGGATCGTGGGATTCGCAAATCTGGTCACGCTTTGCGCAGTGCCCTGCCAAAGTCAGGTCAATGTCAACGCAGTGCGGCGGCATCTGCGCCCGGGGGTGCCGCGCGTCTCTGTTTGCGGTGGCTGCGGAGCCACGGTGGACATTCCACTTTTTGTGCGGCGTGGGCCAGTCTCTCCGTGGAGAGAAAGAAACAAAAGCCATGGCTCACTTCCAAAGAAGTGCGACTCGTGCGATTCGTGAGGAGATTGTTCCGCTCTGAGTGGCAGTTTTTGACTGCTGGCAATTTGCTAAATTCTTGTTTGTCAGTGAAAGCAGTGGCCAATGCATCATCATTCATCAGCATCAGCCAGGATCAATCCACTGCTCGATGAATGCCTCCCCAAGCTGTCGGCTAATTTGTAACTATTGATTATAAATTATCTGAACGGCACCACCCCGCCCCACACACCCACGCGCATGTACACACAGCAACAACAGCCACCATTCGCATATAAGTGGCGGTGTGGCATCACCACAGCGCTTGTGCCAGGCTAGGTGCACTTTGAGGCAGCGTGAAGTGCGGAAGGCCCGTTGAGGTCACAGGACAGACCCAGGAGTGATGAGGTGACTGACTGAGATGCAAGACAAAGACACAAACACATGCACTAAAAGACAGCCTGAACAGGCTGTTGGGGCAAGTGCTGTTAGCGAGCACCTATGGAAGCCGGCACGGCACACGAGGGGGTGGGGGTCCAGCACCACGTCCGGCCACCTTTGTCTCCCCAGTGGCGATATTGACACACCTGCACCAGGTACTAATTTAAGGCTGAGTCGACCTAGGGGAGGCTAAGGAACCGATTGTGAAAAATTGTCGCTGGGTTTTGGCCGTGAACAGGATGTCAACTCGGGCTGCGGGGATTTGTAGCGCATCGCGCTAGGCGTGACGCCACCGCTACACACGCCACACGCGCACACAGACAGACACTCGCACGCACGCAGACGCACGCCGGCGGTGGCAGCAGCGGCGGCGGCGGCTCACCTTGACTTTCTGCACGGGAGGGTAGTAGCGCAGCACGTGGCACACGGAGAGCATGACGTCCGCGCGCCGGCACGCCGCCACGATCGCCTCGCAGTCACCCTCGCTCACCTGCCGCACGGGGACACACGCACGGCGCTCGCTCCACGCGGACAATGCTGCTGCTGCTGCTGGTGATGTGGGGAGCGGTAGTGTAGTGGTTAGCACTGCGCTATGAAACCGGCGACCCGAGTTCGATTTCCGCTCACGGCCAACACCGGTGGCAATTATCTGATCGACTCAGCCTCAAATTAGTACTCGGTGCGATGTGTAAACATCGCCACTGGGGAGACAAATGCGGCCGGGCGTGATGCTGGCGACCCACCATCTCGTGTGCCGTGCCGGCTTTCATAGGTGCTCGCTAACAGCACTTGCCTCAACAGTCTGGGGGATCTTTGTCTTTGATGATGATGCCTGATCCTCACAGCAGTGGCGTTTGGCGAGTCATTGAACAAAGTCGGTCACCGCATCGCGCGCTTTCAGACGCACTTCTGCGGCCGTCTGGAACGCTCTCCCTATTAGGAACCCACTAGAGCTGTGCACTTTTAAATCATCTCGAGATGAAACTCATTTATTTAGAACTGCCGTTTGTGTTTAGTTTGTTGTCCTTTCCCCGCACTTCCGATTCGCGCGGTTGGCTATGTACGGTGCGAAAGAAGTTCAATGTACATACACACAGAACTGCGCGGTCGTTTCCTTCCTTATGCCGGATCCAGCAGCTGTTTCGAACTCGACATCCCGACCCCCCAAAGTTTGCTCTTTGGCGATCAAATCCCAGCAGCGCCTAGCACAGGGTGCCAACCAACCTCTGTGTAGCCTTAACAGACTGTTGGGGCATTCCCGTCTGTCACTGCAAGAGCCTTTAGCCGCGTGACAGAAGCGACGGAACAGCGCATGGATGTGTGCGTGTGCGTGCGTGCGTGCGTGCGTAGATGCGAGTGTGGATGTATGCGTGCGTGCGTGGATGTGTGTGTACGTGGATGTGGGCGTGCGTGCGTGCGTAGTCGCCCGTCGAATGTATTTTGCTTGTCGTGTGCAGCCCTCGCCAGGGGGTCTCCGTGCCCCTGGCCTCCCCGCGTCCTCTCACCGCCATGGGCTTCTCCAGCAGCACGTGGTAGCCCTTGGCTGCGAAGGCGACGGCCGGGTCCTGATGGCGTGGAGGAGACAGAAGCTTCGTAAAACATTCCACATCTGAATGACCGCCGTCCGTTCACTGGCCCACGAAGTGGCACTCGCTTCATCGACCGCGGCGGTGCGGTGAGAGGTTCATCGTCTCCCCGACCCGAGATTCCGGTTCGGAACGCCTCCGTCGCCGAGTGGAGATTGCGGTGCACGACCAGCGGGCCGCCATCCCTCGCGACGCTCGGCCCGAGGCCGCTTCACCACGCGACTCGATGCGACCCGACATGGGAGTTAGAAAGCATCTCGACGAGACCGCTGCACGAGAGCGGGGGGGGGGGGGGCATGAGAGCGGAGTGGTAATGGCTGGTGGTCGTGGTGGTGGAGTGGGAGTGAGTGGTAGTGTTAGTGGTAGTGGTGGCGGTGGTGCTGGTGGTGGTGCATCAGCCAGTCATCTCAGTCACTCAACCCATGGCACCCGGGTCTGTCCCGTGACCTGCCAGCAGGCATTCGACCCTTCAATGGCGGCTGTCGGTGTTGTTGGTGCTGGTGGAAAGGATGTTTGGCGAGAGGGCTGGTGAAGAGCGGCGGTGACGGACAGGGGGAGAGGAAGGACTCGCGCCGAGAGGGAGTCGGCGGTGACGGACCACAACGGGAAGGGCCCTGCAGCAGCTCGCGGCTGCACGAGAGAGGGAATATAAAAGTGCCGTTAAGTCCGCCACGACGCGACACGGCCACTTAGCAAGGTTTGTCACGCGAACAAAACGTGCCAATTAGTCGTGGGTAGAGCACGCACCGGTGTGCTGGAGAGTAAACCCACAACGTTAACACTCCAGCGGACCGGGGTGCTGAACTAGTAACTAACTGACATAATTGGCACGTTTTGTTTACGTGACAAAGCTGACCGATTGGCTGCGTCGGGTGGTGGCGGCGGGTTTAACGACACATTTATATTGACGCGATCGAACCCAAAAAAACCCTCTATTATGGATAATATCGGGCGTGAAAGCCAAGTACTACTCCTACTACTCCGCGTCAAACGGGAGAGGGAGCGAGCGTCCACTGAGCGATTGTTGGCTGAGAATTCCCCAACTTCAGAAGCCGAGTTTTTGCTGGAGCTGAGGGCAGAGGAAGGGGAGCAGAGCAAGACGGGGGGGGGGGGGAGGTGGTGGGCGGGGGGGAGACGCGGGGCAGCGGCGAGCCCACGGTGGAAAGTGACCACGGGGCGGTTGATGAAGGGAACTGGGGGTTGGTGGTGAGTTTGGTTGACTTTGCGGGCACAACATTTGGTTGCCGGGTGCTTTGGAGCAGCCAAAAATTCCACGGCGGTGGACTTGGGCAGGGTAAAGACTGTACGTCACGTGCTCCGACATCAGGAAAACGCAACCGCAGTCGAGAAGCGCTCAAGGAAGCGTGGAGGTGCACGCTCGGAATGGCACTGCGAGCGACAGAAAAGCACGCGGATTAAAAGTCGACTGAACTATTTTTATTTGACCAGGTGAGGCCCACTGAGCTACATAGATGTTCTTCTAGAAGCGACCTGGCAATCACAAATGATAGCTCAACGAAGTATGTAAATTTATGGCAGCCAAACGCACTAAACGCGTGATGTTGAATCTAAATGTGGAGGGAAAAACCCGAAGCAAAAGCCACGTGACCACGGAAAGAGAAAGACACACAAACTCCAAATATACAGCAGCAGGCGTCAGGGTCGGGATCTAACTCACAACTGCCTGTACACCAGGCGAGGTAGTTAACATCTCGCCACCTGAGATCAGAGCACACACGGCAGCTGGGGACATCACATTGACCGTTAACAGTGGCCTTGGGCAGGACACGCCACGGGACTGGACCACGGTCAGTGGTGGAGACTGATGGGAGAGTGTGCCAGCATGGAGAGATGTTAACTACCTCACCTCATATACAGGAGGTCGTGGGTTTAATCCCGACCCTGACTGTCGCTGACACCTGTATATGTGGAGTTTGCATTCCTCGCTTTCTCTCCGTAGTCACGTGGACTTTCTCCAGGTCTTCCGGGTTTTCCCTCCACAGTTAGAGTCAACACCACGTGCTTAGAGTATTTGGCTGCTTTACATTTCCACGTGATAAGCCACTTCGTTGAGCTCTCGTTTGTGGCCAGGTCGTTTATGAAAAGAGCTGTATAGCACAGTGGGGCCTTACCCGGTAAAATTAAACGTAGTTTATAGTTTAGTTTTTAGAGTGGCAGCCAGAGGAAGGAATGCGCCGTAAGGTGGTACGTCAACCACAGAGATGGAGCGATAAAATCAGCGTACGCAGGAGCTGGACGGATCGTTGCACCCGAAGGACGGTGAACGATGGCAACGGCTTGGGGGGGAGGGTGGAAGGGGGTGGGGGGAGAGGGGGGAGTTGGGGGAGGGTGGGGGAGGGAGATGGAGGTCTTCATCCAGCAGCGGAGAGACCATGGCCGACCACGACGTTCGATCGAGAACGGAGTGTTGCCGCACAGTCGAGGCGAGCTGTGACGACGGCACGGAGCTGCAGCGGCAGCAGCGGAAGAGTCGCGGAGGAGGAGGAGCAGGTGGTGCACGGGCGAAGCCGGCGCTGCGCGAGAGGGACAGCCAAGGGGAAGGAAGCGAGCCCTGCCGGAGCTGTCGACAGAGGGCAGCGCCCCCCCCGTCCCCCCTCTCACCTTGTGCAGGCGATCCGGCGTGCAGATGAAAACGGCGTCGGCAAATCTCTTCAGCTCCGCCGCCTCCCTCCAGTCTGCAGCGCCCACACCGACCGCGGCGCGTCAACGTCAGGCGGTCGTCACGGCAAAGAGCTTCATAGCTCACCGGATTCCTCCCGTGTGAAATACAGATTCCGATTCCTTCCCTCTGCTAGATCCCACGGCTGGTGCGAAGTCGACCCCCGAACCTCCGAGGTCGAGCTTGTACCGTAACCGCTCCGTCCCGCCGTTAGCGGCTCCTCCTGCTGCTGCCTGGTCAGCGACCTCTGGGGGTGACCCCGGTGCCCGTGTCGGTACCCTGACCTCCGCCATCCTGGACACGAGTCCCACCCACTGCGACCTCCCGCTGCTGCTGCTTATGGTTACAACGCTGCCAACGACCAATCAAAACGAGACGATGATCGTGACGACGATGACGATGATTGTTGTCATTATCGCGGTTGCTTCTGCTGCAATGATGATGATGCGGAAGAGGTGATGTTTCCAGGACTATGAAATATTATGGGACATTTAACCCTTTCCCATTCTTATGACGTACACGTGCGTGCACATGTACGTCATCAGAACAAATAATAAAATAACTTTATCTGTATCGAGGTTCCCGCAAAGCCACGCGGGAGGGCGTGCGGCACAATTTGGCACCAGCTATCGTAGAGTGCGGTGGTCGTGTCGCTACAGTTCTCTGCGGTGAGTCACGGTGTCTTTAAAAACAGCGGCGCTGCTACGCCTCTCGAAATAAAATGAACGACGAGCCGCTTGCGCTGTTCCGAGATTCGGCGGTGAACGGGGCACCCACCACCCTGCAACTTACAGACGTCTTTGAATGGGAATAGGTTAATAATTATCTGTGGCACAATATCTGAGTTCGAACTCTGGTCATCCTCATGGCGGCTTTTGGCTAACCATCGAAAAAAAGAGACGGTCACTGCATCGCGCGCTCTCAGGTGCTCTACTGAAGCCGTCTGGAATGCTCTTCCTTCTGATGTTAGGAAGCCACTGGAAGCTATGCGCTTTGAAACCATCTAGATTGAAAACTCATTTCTTTAAAACTGCTCTAAGTTTAGTTTGTTGTCCTTCCCCCGCACCTCCGATTGGCACGGTTGGCTACGTACGGTGCGAAAGAAGTTCAACATGCGTACATACTGTACTTCAAATACTCGTTACACACGGCATCACCGCTGCGTCACCACGCGTCTCTAGAACGGGGACGCAAGAGTCGTGGCTCGAACACGCGCTCAATGTCGCGTGACGTGAAACCGACGGGATTCGAAAATGTGTTGACAGCGCCGACGTAAATCCACTGCTGGACGTGTCGGTCGTGGGCGTTGTTCGACCATACTTCACCCCGCTGGTCAGTGCGTTTCGACAAAGAAGAGAGCGCGAGGACCGCTTCAGGCATCATTCGCTACCGACGACGTGAGCCGTGGCTGGGAATTGAACTCTGGCGGCCGCGTTTTATGGCAGCCGTCCATTGTTTTTGTTCATCTCCTCTCGCTCTTGTGGGAAAACGAGAGGGTGACCTCTCCCGCGAAACGAATCCCCACGGAGACGCGGAGACATCTGGCTCGGCCGCTCGCCCGCGGTGAACGCGTTCGCGAGGAGGCGAGCGACGTGAGCGCTCGTGTATAACGCGGTGAACGCGTTCACAAGCGAGTGACGCGAGCGCTCGTGTCTAACGCGGTGAACGCGTTCACAAGCGAGCGACGCGAGCGACGCGAGCGCTCGTGTCGAACGCACCCACGAGGCAGCAAATAACAGCGAGATAGAGGAGGCGCTGGTTTTCATTTTTATCATCAGCGGAGGCAAATCTCTCCGGCTTGGAAGCGGAGCGAGACGAGAGGGGGCGGCCTCGTGGGGATGACGACGACCTTATGACGGCACCAACGCAGGGATTGTGGGTAAATTAATTCTCATGGATTTAGAGCAAACGGGGGGACGGTGGGGAGGGGGACACGGAGATTGATGCTGAACCGTGCCAATCCCCACGTGCCATCTCCAATCACTCAAAGTGCCTCTCGGGGGGACAATGGTTTGTGTATTAATCCGGTAAAGCGTTCTCCAGCGGGGTTCACCTCGCACAGCGCTTCTCTCTCCGCTAACGTTCCACCGCCACCACCGCCACCACCGCCACCGCCGCCACCGCCGCCGCCGCCCCCATTACCGTGCCGAAGAAGCGGCCCCTTTTGCAGGAGACGCGCCGCTGTTGTTGATGTTGTTGATGTTGTTGATGTTGTTGATGTTGTTGATGTTGTTGATGGTTAATTACCGGTTCACGAAGCCGTCTTTGCCACGCAAAAGTTTTCAGTAAATATAATAATTAACCTGTAATTTTTTTTGTTACAAATTTTTTTAAATCTACGATCAGACACCAACAGCTCACTCAATAAAAAAAATTTCGTTCTTTTTTATATTAGAAAGAACAAAAAATAATGAACTTAATACTCTATGAGAGGAAGCTCTGCTATCTTTGACCGTTTTCTTGTTATATTCCGATTTGAACATCATAAAACGCGGATTTTTTTCGTTCAAAACCGCTTTAATGGGTTTCACTTTCCTTTTATTTGCTGCTGAATGTGCTGGCAAACGAAAAAAAACCGCAATCTTATCTTTTGAACGGTACCTGAATGACACCACGCACAAACATGTTTACCGGGCACTTAACATCGAGATTTGGGAGCCTTACAATGAAATATCTCAGATTTTAAGTTCTGTCCTATTGTTTGTCTCCTAAAAGCTACCTGTGTACCAAATGTCAGCCTTCTACCTTGTCGGCAAGTACATACACACACATTAAGGTCTTTATTTATAGAGTAGATAGATTCCTACAACTCACCATCGCCGCAGCTCCCGCAGCCAGCGCCTGCTGCCACACCCACGCATTACAGGATAAAGTCGCAGCACCTTACACACACCCCCCCGCACCTCCAATTAGCACGGTTGGCTACGTACGGTGCGAAAGATGTTCAACGTACGTGCACACAGCACCCTGTACTCAAACCCGTCAACCCCTTGTCAGTGCCCTACCTTATTACAGACCATTTCAGACCTTATTGGTCACCCCGTGCCCCCCTTATAAATATCAACTTTCATCACAAGGGAGAAACACAAACAAATAGGCAAAACTAAACGTGTCGCCCGTATTGAAACGGCTGTACGCCGTATAGACCCGGAAACTCAATTCCCCTGCACAAGAAGACGGAGTAGACCGTGTGGGTTGACCGCCGTGTGCACTGCACGGGACAGGCTTCCCTCGATCCCTGCGGGTTCGTTTTGTGCGACTTCGCGTTGCGAGGGTAGGTGCCGTGGCTCGCCGGGAGAAGGCAGGACAGCATAAATGTTGACTCCGCCTGTTTGGTCCGCACGGGATACAGCGTTGCCCCCTCGCGCGCTTGGGGGGAGAGGGGTTCTTTTCGGATTCCCCCCCCTCCACATTTAGAGTCGACGAGCGTTGAGAGTATCTGGCCGCTGTACATTCCCACGTGACGATAAGCCCACTTCGTAGGAGCCATCATTGGTGGCGGCCGGGTCGCTTCTGAGAAAAAGAACTACGTCGCTCGGAGGGGCCGTACATTGTAAAATAACAATTGTGCAAAAAAAAGTTTAGTTTAGATTTCGGATTTGGCCCGTGACTGTTTGCTGCACCCTTTGCGCACGAGGCCTCGGAGGTCTTTACCGTCAACATCACAGCAGACCGCGCGCTTCGGTCATCCCTCGTGGCCGTGGTAGGAAGCGAAACTCTCCCCCCATGCCTCCTTCACCTCTGCAGAGCGCACCGTGCGCTTGCGCCGGTTTCAATAACCGAGGCTCAAAGCTACTCGGAGTCGGTGCCGGATTATCGTAGAAGCAAAAGTAGCTACATATGTCGTAGTAGCTACGGGCCCCGCACTATCAAGGGCCCCACGCTAAATGCTTTCAAGCTATCAATTCCGGTTCAGTGATTCAGCACTTGCTCTATTACTATAGTACTATACCACCTCCAACTTTTATGAACGACTGGGTGATTAAGGTTAGCGATTTGTCGTATTATCTGGCTGTATAGCAAATTAACAAATACAACTGACTTAACCATGCAAGCTAAAAATGTGTGTTTTAAAATGTATCTGTTTTGTTCACGTAGGGCCCCTTAATAACATCATACGCTATAGGCCGCGCACTAGCTGCATCCGGCACTGTTCAGAGTCGGCGTAATTGGCGAGTTTTTGTCGAGTTTTTGACGAGCGGTGACACTTGAATATCGCGCAACGCACGCGCCACGCAGCGGCGCTTCGCTTTCCACCGCAGCGATGTGGCAAAGTGTCGTGTTGTTTGTTGTTGTTTGGTGTTGTTTGTTGTTGTTTGGTGTTGTTTGGTGTTGTTTGGTGTTGTTTGGTGTTGTTTGGTGTTGTTTGGTGTTGTTTGACTTGCCTTTGTTGTCGTGAGTGCGACGAGAGTGAGAGAGTGTGGCGGTGTGTGTGTGTGGCGGGGTGAGTGTGAGGGCGTGTGAGTGTGGTGGTGTGTGCGAGTGTGAGAGTGCGTGAGGGTTTGAGTGTTACAATGTGACAATGTGGTGGTGTGTGAGTATTTTGAGTGTGGTGGTGTGTGTTTGTGTGAGTATTGGTGTGTGTGTAGGTGAGGACACGGGGTGTGTGTGTGTAGGTGGGGACACGTGGTGTGTGTGTAGGTGAGGACACGTGGTGTGTGTGTAGGTGGGGACACGTGGTGTGTGTGTAGGTGGGGACACGGGGTGTGTGTGTGTGTAGGTGAGCACACGTGGTATGTGTGTGTGTAGGTGGGGACACGTGGTGTGTGTGTAGGTGAGGACACGGGGTGTGTGTGTGTGTGTAGGTGGGGACACGTAGTGTGTGTGTGTAGGTGGGGACACGTGGGGTGTGTGTAGGTGGGGACACGTGGTGTGTGTGTGTGTAGGTGAGGACACGTGGTGTGTGTGTGTGTAGGTGAGGACACGTGGTGTGTGTGTGTGTAGGTGAGGACACGTGGTATGTGTGTGTGTAGGTGAGGACACGTGGTGTGTGTGTGTGTGTAGGTGAGGACACGT